GGCGGTGCTGAGAGCGCTTTGCACTTGGTAGTACCTGCTGGTCCCTGCAGGGCCACCGAATGCGCCGTTCCCCGTCCCCTGCAAGGGACAGAGTTCCTTGGACTGCAAGGCGATCCAACCAGTCCATACTAGAGGAAATCCATCTGAATATTCATTGGAAGGACTGATGCTGACTCCAATACTTTGGCCACCTGATGCGAAAAACTGACTTATTGGAAAAGACCCTGATACTGGGAAAGATTGAAGGCAGGAGGAAAAGGGGACGACAGAGGATGAGATGGCTGGATGGCATCACTAACTCGATGGACATGAGTTTGAGTAAACTCCGGGAGCTGACGTTGGGCAGGGAAACCTGGCGTGCTGCAGTCCATGGGGTCGCAGAGTCTGACACGACTGAGCGACTGAACTGACTGCCCCCTGCAGCTGGGGAAACGGAGTCAGAGATGTGGACTTAAGCGGGGATACAGGCGGGATCCCAGATTGGGCAGTCTGACCCCCAGAGCCATCCTGCCACTCAGCGAACCTAGGTGGAGCAGTGGCCAGCCAGGAGGTCTGGGACGGGTGGAATTGACCAGACTGTGGGAGGCAGTGCTGTGAAAAGTACAGCTAAATCGTCACACTTTGTGACAGCTCCGAGGGCGTAGCTGGGTGGGAGAGAAGCAAGACAAGGCCGTGGGGTTGGGGCCAGCTGGCACCTCTCAGCCCCACCATCCCAGATTCACAGCAGGTGGGCTAGAGCCGGGTTGTCTCCCAGGTGTGTGGAGTTAAAGCACTTTAGGAGGGGAACAGTAGGATGGTATCTGGAACACAGGTGTCTCACCTGCTCAGGCTGCCATAGGCTGGGAGGCCTGAACAGAGAACTTCTCTCTCCTAGGTCTAGAGGCTGGGAAGTCCAAGGCCCCCAGTCCTATAGGGGTCAGGACCCCACTATTAGGACTCCGTGTGATCCTAATTACCTCTTTCACTTAATGTTAAAATGTTAGTCGCTCAGTGGCGTTCAACTCTTTGCAACTGCATGACCTGTAAGTCCACCGGGCTCCTCTATCCATGGGATCTCCCAGGCAAGAATACTGGAATGGGCTGCCATTTCCTTCTCCACATTTAATATTAATGACTCCCTAAAAGCTCTTTCTCCTGATACAGCCTCATGATGAGGGTTAGGGCTTTTAACACATGAATTTGGGGTAGGGGGAACACCATCAGTCTGTAGCAAGTTTGTACCCAGGTAAATAAGTGATCATCGAAGACTGAAGTAAATGAGTGCTTTGAGGACTTGTGTGCACCCTGATGCTGGGAAAGATTGAGGGCAGGAGGGGAAGGGGACGACAGAGGATGAGATGACTGGATGGCATCACCGACTCAATGGACATGAATTTGAGTTAACTCCGAGAGTTAGTGATGGACAGGGAGGCCTGGTGTGCTGCAGCCCATGGGGTCGCAAAGAGTCGGACACAATTGAGCGACTGAACTGTGTACCTGAGATGCCTTCATGTGTCTTAACCCATTGAGTGAGCATGAGATTGCCGTTCCTTGTGTCTTTGCACTGGTGGGGAATTCTAGGGACAACTTGTGTGTGTGTGGGCTCATGTCCAGGCAACCAGCCTGAAGAGATTGGAAAAAGTTATACCAAACATCTTTAAACAGCACTTAGTGAATCCTTTATTCTTGGATTTAGCTAAACCCTTTTTTCACTTATGCTGCTCCTGGAATAATGAGATCCCTAATTACCACCCACAGAGAAGTGAAATAATAATTACTTTTGTTCTTTATTGTTTCGTGTTGTCATTCTAAAGTTTGGTAACCAGGTCTTTTCATCCTACTTACCCTGGTGGGAGGAAGATTAGAAATCTACAGCTCAGGAGCGCAGAGGCTGCTGCTGCTGTCTAGTCGCTTCGTTGTGTCCGACTCCCTTGTGACCCCACAGGCTGTAGCCCGCCAGGCTGCTCTGCCCAGGCAAGAATACCAGAGTGGGTAGCCATTCCCTTCTCCAGGGGATCTTCCTGACTCAGGGATCAAGCCCAGGTCTCCTGCTTGGCAGGCTGATTCTTTAACCACTGAGCTGCCTGGGAAGCCCCGGCTCAGAGGCAGATACACGTTACAATCTTGGATTCAAGCCCTTGCTGAGCGATTGTGAACAAATCACTTAACTTTTCTGAGCCCCTGTTTCTTCAGCTGTGAAACAGAACTAATAAAAATCCTGACTGCATAGGGTTGTGAGGTTATATGAAAACAGTTTGAAACCTTCAAAGAACTGGCCCTTGGACTAGATGCTGAAGTCGTAGATCTCCTCTCCCCATCCATCTGAGGAACAGAAACCCCCTCCCACAGCCCTACCTCAGACTGGCTATTCATGTATCACCTGTTTATTGATTGCCTGCCAAGTGCCAGGGCACCTGTTCTGAATGCTAGGGGGCAGGGAAGAGCAAGGCAGACAAGGTTCCTCCTTTTATGCTATTTATATTCTAGTGGGGGAGGACAGTAAATAAGTTCAGATAGTGCTGAGAGCTATGAACAACAAAAATACAGTGTTTCAAATAATGAGATAAAAGAATGACAAAGAGCAGTGTGTGTGTTTGGAGGGGAGGTGTATGACCATTAGAGGGTGGCAGATAGAGTGAGAAGCCTCTGAGGAGCTGAGTCCTAAATGTCCAGGACTCCAGTCCCCAAGCAGAGAGGGACGGCAGGCAGAAGGCCCAGGCTGATTAGATCATGGCTCAGCCAGTGGTCTCTAGGCTGTCGAGCGATCTATCTTTAAAGACAGGAGATTTGCAGGGCAGGGATAGAGATGCAGATGTAGAGAACAGACACGTGGACACGGGGTGAGCGGGGACGAAGGGAGAGTGGGACGAATTGGGGGGTTCAGATTAACATATATGCAGTACCACGTGTGAACCCTATAGTGGGGAGCTGCTGTTCAGCACAGGGAGCTCAGCTTGATGCTCTGTGATGACCTAGATGGGTGGGATGGAGGAGGGCTGGGAGGGATATCCAAGAGAGAAGAGATATGTATCCATATATATGTATCCATGTAGCTCATTCCCATCATTACAAGTTAAATGTTAGTCACTTAGTCATGTCCAACTCTTTGCAACCCCATGGACTGTACTCACCAGGCTCCTCTGTCCATGGGATTTTCCAGGCAAGAATACTGGAGTGGGTTGCCGTTCCCTTCTCCAGGAGATCTTCCCGACCCAGGGATTGAAGCCAGGTCTCCCTCATTGCAGGTGAAGTCTTTACCGTCTGAGCCACCAGTTAAATGCCAATTAAAAAGTAAAAGTAAAAAATAAAAGGGTCGTGGGGGGCGGGGGTGCTCAGATTTCTCTCCTGGGATTTAGAACTAGGAAACAGAAGACTTTGCTTGACAGTAGGAGCTGAAGCAGAAGGTTAAGGGGGCTGCAGAGGCAGCATGCAGGCCAGTGTTGGGGCAAAGCTGAAGCCGCGATTGAGCAGAGGAGGCTGGGCAGGCTCCACGTGCCATGTGTTGGAGCAGAAGAACTGGGAATCTGAAGGCGTTTACTGCTGGTGGACTTCCTGGAACCGTCTTAAAACCTGAGCCACTCTGCAGTTCTGGTCTGCAAGAAGTAGTACCCTGTCCATGGCTTCTGCTCTTGGATTTCCCAGATTGGCTGTATTCTTAATCTCTCAGTATGTATCTTTTCAGTAAATCTCCCTTTTATTGATGCTAGTTCTCTTTTGCCGACACATGAGTTGGACTAGAACAGCCATGTGAGCCTGGGCTTGGATCCCTGGGTTTCCTTTCTGAGCTGAGTCTTTGAACAGTTATTTAATTTCTGTAAGTATCAGGATCCAACAACTATATCCTTACAGTGTTGTGCAGATTAAACAAGACGACAAAAATGGAAGGGCCTGTGGAGTGTTTTACACAGGGCAGGTATTTGGGGTTTGTTAGGGTCTGTCTCCTTTCCCTCCATGTTTTAGTGGGTTTTTGATTACAGGCCTACCTCTGCTATTGAACTGTCCTGGTTTTGTCATCCTTATTTTTATCGTTCCACCTCAGTTCTTGTTTTAACTACCCCTAAACTCTTAAGCAGAAGAACACCCTGCAGCTCCCTCTCCTCATAAATGAATCAACATGGTCACTGGTCTTCCTGAGGCCACTTGTGTAGTGGAGGTGTACATGGGATTTAGATTTATTCATATTTGTACTGAGGTGAGCCAGTCCTGTTTACCTGGCTCAGAGCAGTGACTTCCAGAGAGAGAGAGCGGGGGCCAGGATGGAAGATGGTGATTAAAGGAAGAGAGGGTGTGTAAAAGCTGTCTCAGAGAAGCCAGGGTCAGAAGAAGAGGAAAAGATGGGATAAACATGGGACAGAGAGCTTTTTCTTGGACCTGGGCCTGCAGAGGCAGAGCACTGCTGCGACCTCAGTTCTGGGACGCCCTTCCAGTCGGTCCCAGGCCAGGGCCACGCAGAAAGCTTTCAGGAAGGAGGTGGGACCGTGGTTAGGGGGCGGCTCTAGTTTGTGCTGGAAGTGGAGGCTGGGATGAATTAGAAACAAACTGAAGATGCCTGTCTGGTAGGGGTGGGTGTGTGACATGTGGAAAAGCTATGCTTGTGATGCTCCGCCTGTGGGTCACGACCTCTTCTTAGGTCTTCACGGTAGAGGAAGAAAAGCAGTGTCCTGGGATGCCGGGAGGTGTGGCGTCGGAGAAGAAAGCGTAATGGCTGCAGAAATAATTACAGGCCATCAGGGGAAATCTCCAGGCCCTTAGAAAGGTGTGCAGGCAGGTGGAGCGGCAGGGGTTTCTGTTAGTGCGCCTGGGCCAAGTTCCCCTGTGTCCAGTTTTGATGAGTATCTCTGGATGAACTGTGACTCTGGCTAGGCCTCATGGGGAGGCCCACAGTTGGCGAGAGCATCATCTTTGCTTGCCAAAAGTGGTCCCCCCTGGGGAGAAAGTGGGTAAGGCTGCTCTTAGGAACTGTTCTAGATCTCAGGCCAGTACTTGTCCATCAGAGAGCTGCCGGCTTTCTTTCCCTCCAGGATTATGGCTGACAAGACCCAGGAGGCTGGTGGCATCCACTTCCCGTTTCCCTTCACACCATATGCCATCCAGAAAGACTTCATGGCAGCGCTGTACCAGGTGCTGGAGGCTGGCAAGATTGGGATATTTGAGAGTCCAACCGGCACCGTAAGTATGACCAGTGGGAGCCTGAGAAGGTCTGGGAGATGCTGATGACAAGTCAGAGGACGCCAGCATGCTCGTCTGCCTGCACAGAGAGTCATGGTGTGAAGCTTAGAAAGGTCATTCTTTCTGTTTATCATGCTGAGCAAGTCACTCCTGTCTATTAAACAGTTAAACACAGCCCCAGGGTCACAGAAAAATTAGGCTAGAGGCACATGAGAATTTGAATGGCCGTGGAAACCACGACTTGGAGCGCTGAAACCTTCCATCTTGCTCTGAGCACACAACTGAGAAACAGATTACTTTGGCTTACTAACAGATCACAGACGGGTTTATTCTCCACAAACTAGGTCACCAAGGGCCAGAGTAACCCAGTCTGGAGCCCCTCAGTTTTCCTTCCTGACCTGGAAGGAGGGGGTTTATTAGAGGTTGACCACTGAGGACCGTTGGGGTCCTTGCTCGTCTCTCGCACTTTATTGTTGCAGCAAGCGCCGTGTGACAGTGGCCTGCCCGTGTGGGTGCTGCTGTGACCTGGAGGACCTTTGGGGCCTCTCCTCTGTGTCCCTGCCACCTGGGGAGCTTGGCCCAGTTGGCCTGGGGTGGTCATGTGTGTGTTGAGAGAATGAACAGAGGAAAGTGACTCATGTCGTCTCCTCCGCTGACAGGAGTGTGTCATCCTCTCCTGGGGAGACACAGGCGGGGCTGCTCTCCTGGTTCCGTTTTGTTCCTTCAGACGCAGTGAGTGGGAGGGAGACTCCCTCCTGCCGATTCACACAGTGTGGGTCACGAAAATGCTATGCGGGATGAGGATGTTGTGTGGGACGAGGATGCTGTGCAGGTTGAGGAGTTGTTAAAGCAGCTTCTTGCTGCCAGTCTCCAGCCCTCCGTTTACAGCCAGAGCACGTGGGGAATTCCCTTGTGCTTCCACTGCAGGGTTATGGGTTTGATTCCTGGTTGGGGAACTAAGATCCCAGGTGCCATGCAGCGTGGCCAAAAATAAATAAATAAATGCAGTGCATGGGATTTCTCCCCTCCCAACCCACTGATACACTGTTTGGGAGCAGGAGCAACTTCCTGTAAGTAGATCTGAGGACGTTCAGGTCCTCGTCTGACCATCTGCCTCACCTGATGTCATGAAGCTTCTTTTCCTCTCTCTCTTTTCTTCTTCCCTTATTTTTTAAATAATTTTTTGTATTTATTTTTGGCTCTGCTGGGTCTTCCTTTGCTGCTTCGGCTTTTTTCTGGTGGTGAGTGGGGGCTGCTCTCTAGTCGCACTGTGCGGGCTTCTCACTGCAGTGGCTTTTTGTAGCAGAGCATGGGCTCTAGGGCATGTGGGCTTCAGTAGTTGCCGCCCCCAGACTCTGGAGCACAGGCTCAGCAGCTGTGGGGCATGGGCTTAGTTGCTCTGCGTCATGTGGGATCTTCCCAGATCAGGGATGGAACCCGTGTCTCCTACATCGGCAGGCGGATTCTTTACCACTGAGCCATCAGGGAAGCTCTGTTTATTTTTGGCCACGCCATGCAGCATGTGGATCTTAGCTCCCTGACCAAGGATCAAACCTGCACCCCCCTGTTTGGAAGCACGGAGTCTCAACCACTGGACCACCAGGAAAGTCCCTTGTCCTCCTCTCTTTAAAGTCACGTGAAACATTGAATCAAAGAACAGTGTGTGTAGTTTAAGAAGTCACATTTATCAAACTTGGTTCCTTGGACTGGTGCTTTTAACTTTCTTATCTATTTCTTAAATACTCCTGGTTTGCATGTGTTGAAATCACAAGCCGATGCTGCTGTTTTTCGCGTTATTGGCTGTGGTCGCTGGGGCCTCTGGCCATAGGTAAGATGGAGCTTTCTGACCATCTCTTTCCCCTCCCTCTGCCTACTCTCCTGCTGCAGTTACATATTTTCGGTCTCTTTTTCTTCTCTTGAATAACTTTTAAGTCAGTAGTTGTCTTTTAAAGGTTTGTGTCACTTTCAGTGTACTTACATCTGTTCTTCTCTTCACCATCCAGTGGTGTCTCAGCATCACAACTCATCATACAGTCATCTTCTTTGCCTGCCTGCCCGGGCTGCCGTGAGAACACACCACAGACAGTGGCGTAAATGTGGCAATTTATGGTCTCACAGTCTGGAGACTAGATGTCCAGAATCAAGGTGTCGGCAAGGTCCCTCCTGAGGGCCTGGGCATGTGGACAGGAAGCTTCCTCCTGTCTCTTCGCGTTGTCTGCCTTCATTGCCTCTGTGTCCGCATTTCCCCTTTTTATTATGCAAGGGTACTGTCTTATACACGGGCTTCCCTGGTAGCTCAGCTCGTAAAGAACCTGACTGTCGATGCAGGAGATGCAAGAGAAATGGATTTGATCCCTGGGTCTGGGAGATCCCCTGGAGAAGGGAGTGGAAACCCATTCCATTTATGCTTGCCTGGGAAATTTCATGGACAGAGAAACCTGCTGGGCTACAGTCTGTGGGGTTGCGCAGGGTCGGAAACGACTGAGACACTGTCTCTCTGGATCAGGGCCCACCCTCTGTTAACCCAGGATGTCTGTTTTCAAGCAGGGCCACGTTCTGAGATACCGGGGTCAGGGGGACACAATTCAACCCACGTCAAGGACCTCCAGGGAAAAGTCTGATGTTTACACCAACAGATGTATTCTCCAGAACAATTGGTTTGCTTCAAAATTTCATAGCATTGGGACTCCTGGGGCCGATCACCTTCTCTCTGCGCAGATATGTTGACTGCATCCCTGCCTCAGCAGGTTGTATCCAGGATTACATGATGTGCCCCCTTTTTGGTGGGGGGGCCTTAATTCATTTTCTGGGCTATTTATTCAGTTTCTGCCGCTCTTCTCATTGTGGTGACTTGCGGTACTTAAAGGTAGCTTGATAAACCTCTTTTATTCCTTGAAGAACACAGTGAAGACATATAATTAAAGAATTTCACTTTTATTTTTCTTTTGTTCTTAGCTGTGCTCTAGGAAAAGGCCAGTTCCCTTCTCTTTTCTTCCTTTCCGAAGCGGGTCTTGGAGCGCCCTCTGATACTTAACGTCAGATGCTTTATTACACAGGAAGGGTCATCCGGGAAGCTGGGTCTCTTGGCCTCTGTGTCTGAGAGGGTTTTTCTCCCTGCAGGGAAAATCCCTAAGTCTCATCTGTGGGGCCCTCTCCTGGCTCCGCGACTTTGAACAGAAGAAACGCCAAGAGGAGGAGCGTCTGCTGGGGGCTGGAGCCCCCGCCTCGAACGAGGGGCTGGCCCCAGCCCCGGGTCTCCCACCCTCCTGCCAGGGGAGCCCAGGCACCCCAGAGGCCACCGGAGAGCCCGACTGGATCACTCAGTTTGTGCAGAAGAAGGAAGAAAGGGACTTGGTGGACCGATTGAAGGTGAGATTGGGTTATGGGAGGTAGCGCGATCTGGGAATGGGGCATCCGTGGTGACTTCAGGTGAGTCCCAAGGCTAAACAGCATGTGTCCTTGCTGTGTGTCCTCTGGCCACCTCCCGGGTGGCTGGTGCTGCGCCCTCACTGTCCGTGTTAAGCTGATGTCACCAGGCTTTCTCTCGGTTGGCATTCATGAGTACGTGCTAAGTCGATTCAGTCGTGTCTGACTCTGTGTGACCCCATGGACTGTAGCCCACCAGCTCCTCTGTCCATGGAGTTCTCAAGACAAGAATACTGGAGTGGGTTGCCATTCCCTTTTCCAGGGGGTCTTCCCGACCCAGGGATCAAACCCGGGTCTCCTGCATCAGCAGGCGGGTTCTTTACCAGCAGTTCCCTTTCATTGCTGGGAGAGGAACCACACCATTGCCAGGGGCAGCACGGACCTGGCTTCCCTGGCATCGGACCCCTTAAAGGCCATGCTGAATGGAGAGTGTGTCCTTTCTACAGTGAGCCCGGGGGCTCAGGGTCTGCTGGCCATGCTGCAGCCAATGAGGCCAGCAGGGCAGGGCAAGCTGCCCAGAGGCGAAAAGCCCTGGACTGGGGCACCCTGGCTCCAGAAGGGGCGTGCCCCGGGGCTTCCTGCAGGAGTCTCCCTTCTGGCTTCCCCACTCCAGGAGGAGCAGGTCCGGAGGAAGAAGCGAGAAGAGCGCCTGCAGCAGATCCGTCACAACGGGAAGCTCCGGTTCTTGGCCAAGCGCATGGTGAGTGTGGTCCCCGGGACCATGTCCAGGTGGCGTCCGCCCGTGCAGCTGGTCGGGATGAGCAGCCAGGCCCTCGGCCCCTTGACCGGGATGGGGGCAGCCTGAGCTGAAGGACTGGTCGTGGGGTGTTGGCACCAGTCGCTCGAGGCCCATGTCAATGGTGGGCACACTGCCATAGCCGCCTGATGCTGCCTCGTCTGGGGTGGGGTACCGGCATCAAGGTTTCTTTCTCTTTGCCCCACAGAGACAGGAAGATGAGGAAACAGAGCGTCTGCTCCGGGTCAGCAGTGAGATGCTGGCCACAGGCACAGAGCCCGAGCAGGTGGCCTCTGGGGAGGAGGAGCTGGTCCTCGCAGAGTATGAGAGTGACGAGGAGAAAGGAGTGCCCAGTGGGTAAGAGCATCACCTCCACCCACCGCCCTGCCTGGGTCTGTGCAGGTTTCCAGGGAGCAGCTCCTTCTTCCACCCCAAGAGGTGGGCCCCCTCTTCTGCAGTGAGGCCCCTTTTCATGGCATGGAGGATGCCCACAGCGGCAATCCCTTTCTCTGACAGTTCAGGCAGCTCCCTCCTCTCGGAGGTATTTGCATCTTGGCTCTGCATTCAGGGCACCATGGTCCAGCAGGGTGCCAGGCCTGGGCCAAGGCCACCAGCTGGGGACTTGAACCCCGCTGGTCTGACTCTTAAGTCTCAGGCTCTAGCACCAAGTCAAGCTGTGTAAAGCTTGTGAGGTAAGCCCTTGAGTTGTCCTCAGGCTGAGTTTTTCTTAACCTAAGGCTTCTGTTGGTCCACACTCATAGGTTTCTAATTTGTGAGCTGTTATTCCTGAGTGAACTAGAAATGCTGGTTTTGATTTGCATTTCTGTGTCGATTAGCGATGTTGAACACCTTTTCACGTTCAGCTCTGCTTAGTCGAGTCCAACTCTTTGCAACACCATGGACTGCAGCACGCCAGACTTCCCTGTCCTTCACCAACTCCCAGAGCTCGCTCAAACCAAACTCCATTGAGTCGGTGATGCCATCCAACCATCTCATCCTCTGTCATCCCCTTCTCCTCCTGCCTTCAATCTTTCCCAGCATCAGGGTCTTTTCCAGTGAGTCAGTTCTTCACATCAGGTGGCCAAAGTAATGGAACTTCAGCATCAGTCCTTCCAGTGAGTATTCAGGACTGATTTCCTTTAGGATTGACTGGTTTGATCTCCTTGCAGTTCAAGGGACTCTCAAGAGTCGTCTCCAACACCACAGCTCAAAAGCATCAATTCTATGGTGTTCAGCTCTCTTTATAGTCCAACTCTCACACCCATACGTGACTACTGGAAAAGCCATGGCTTTGACCAGATGGAGCTTTGTCAGTAAAGTAATATCTTTGCTTTATAATATGTTATCTAGGTTGATCATTGCTTTTCTTCCAAGGAGCAAGCATCTTTTAATTTCATGGCTGCAGTCACCATCTGCAGTGATTTTGGAGCCCAAGAAAATAAAGTCTGTCACTTTTTCCATTGTTTTCCCATCTATTTGCCATGAAGTGATGGGACTGGATGCCATGATCTTA